TATTTGAACCAATTGGGACCTCCCATTATTGTTTTCTTATTGATCTCATTTGTTTGCAAAAAGTAAGCCGAAACTAAACTACCTGCGTATAAAAGAGGTCAAATAAGTTTGAGACGAGTGAGGAGACAAAAAACGTGTATCATATTTTATAGTTAGTTCGAGCTCCGAGGCAACTATGATAATACCCCCGCCGCAGCAAACCTGCAGACTAAACGAATTTCCATCTACACACCTGGAATTCCACTAAATTATTCCCTTAAAATTGTCAGATTTATTTCCTATTTAAATATCATTAATATTAATGAGTACTTAGGTTTGCTGCTACAGGGAAGAAAATAGGGGGTTTTATTGAAATATTAATAGCTTAGTATGAAGTAAACAAATTTTCAAAATTTCATTAAAATATGTCCATAGACAAGCAAGCTACAACACTGCGTTTATTCTCCATAAGAATAACATGGTAATTTTAAATGTACACTATTTTGCGATTTATCCGTAACCGTTAGGCATGCAACAATGCTTCAATATACTAAATTATTTGTTTTTTTGAGCTCTACAAAATGGTTTAGAAAGAAATTGCAAAATTTTATGTTTTCAGGGTGAAAATTAGAAAAACCCATTTTTACCCCATAAAACCCCCCATAAACCCCTGTTCCCATAGTCCGATCATGCTGGTTCGCGAACTCGTTCGAATAAATGTAGGTTTACACGTTTATACCAAATTTCCTCAAAATCGGATCATTTTTGCTCAAGTTATCGTGCTAACGTACACATATATAAATATATATATATATATATATATGAATTTGAACGGATGGTGTTTTTGGCCTCTGGGGACCTCAAAACGAAAAACTAAATCAGTCCCGGGTCCAGGTCTTACCATGAGACCTACGGTAATAGCTTATTCCCTATATGGGAAATTCGCTAAAAAGAAACAAAATGCAAGTAGTTGCACTAAACTAACAATCTGTTTTATAAATGCAATTATATCGAATACTCGCGAGATGGTAAGAAACAGGCTCATTTATAGCCCAATGATCAGGAACAGTTGGTTTGGTCTTTGTCACATAGGTAGACCAGCTACACTGGCCATCTTCAATTTAACTTTTAATCCTAATTCACAAAAAGTAATTTTAAATACAATACGTAATTAAGTATAAGCACGTAATTATTAATTACTATTACGTAATAACGTATTGAAGTAGATCACAAATGACGTTTTAGTGATTCATAAAAATAACTGATAAACTATTAGATGAAATAAATCAAAAAATCAATCTACAGTGGAGGTGTAGGGTTCAGTAATGTTGTAGTGCCCTGACCGAATGGCCTACATTCATTGTTGTGGTGTATCAGCGCATTCTGCAGTGCAAATCCACAACTTACTCAGCTTGCTGACACTATGCCGTCAAAACCAGCAACATCTTGTGTTAGGTAATGCAGAGAGTAATTGCTTTTTACTCTCCCGTGTACCTTAACTGCTCAAATTACTACAAGTACCTGAGGACCGAGCTTTGCTCGGGGAAAATCATTAGTTTACTCTGAAAGCAGTTTTAGTATTGCAGATGCATTAATCCATTTTGAAAACATATTATTGAGACTTGTCTAATATTGGAATGACTTAAAGTACTAAAATATACATACGATTACGAAATGTTTTAAACGAGCACAAGAATAAAAATGTCTTGAAAACATTATCGACTGAACGTAAATGGTTGTGCATTATGCCAATGAATAACATTTCCCTATTGTTTTCTTAGCAGAATTTCAGCATTTTTAGGTAACAATAATCACGAAAATCAGTACATTTACCGTAACTTTTGACACATATTATTTTCCTTCTCAGATTTTTTTCGGCTTCAGTAACTGTACAGTTGTTTTTATTTGATGATTTGCAACATGCTACATAGGTATACGTTTATTTTTCAAACTTCAAAACCCCCGCTTTCCACTATTGCCTAATTAGACCTACAATTTCCAATGGTAGTTAAACGTGATCGAACCTGATCAATGTTCCCTTGTGGGCGTATGTCGTATTGTTCACTCGTATTACGATCTTCCCTATTACCTGAGTCGAGTGAAAGTAGAATACAAAACCTGATTTCAAAAGAGCAGCGTACTACAAAATTGACAATAGGCAGGTGCAGTAAAATGTATAGTAAAAAGTCGTAATTAATAGTGTAGATTTTTGTTCATCGTGGATTAGGCGCTTAGCAGGACTTAAGAAACAAACAAATCTAATATGTTGTTGACGCCTATTTTTAGAGAGTTGGTAAAAATACGCTTCATAAACTGGAACAATATTTTGAAATTGTAATAGACGTATTTGACAAAATTAACGTGTAAATACAGCAACTCTATGATTTAATTTGTAAACCTACTTACTTTAAAAACCCTACTATTGATATAGATCCAAAGGAATATGACTACATACCTTAGTGTAGCAATAACATCAATTACTTAATATTGATGCTTCATAAATGAGATGTTTTACCCCAATTCTTCAATTTTAGTCAAGCCTCTTTACATGTAGCTTACTATAAAAATTACAATTAACACTGTGAGCAATGTGTATGCTTGTAGTCCTTGAGCAATACTCTAAAAAACGTGTACTACCTTTCTTTAACCAAACATAACCCTCCTCAATCTAAATAAAGCATCACAAAAAATCTTTTTCGAGTAAATAAACAAACACCGGTTAAAGCATTGACCAGCTGTTTGATTAAATAAATAAATTAAATTAAATCATTTAAACTTTGGAAGCATGTCCGGCGCAGCTCTTTGGGAATTTGCCTGTGGGGTATAGCCCTTAAGAAGTTCGTCCATAACAATACTTTTCTGCAAAAATACACACTCTAAGCGTAATCTTGATGTGCCATATGCCTGTATTTTTATTTTATAAAAGGCCTTAAGTGTTTTCACAAATTGGAATAAATCGCTTTAATAGATCGATAGATGACTCGTGTTGCTTTGTTGTTGACTAAGATCAGCTGTTTATTTAGTCAGGTTAATTTATTAAATTATCTTGGACAGCTGGGTTCAGTTTCAAAACATCAAACTACATACTGTACTATACTCGGAATCGAACCGGCGACTTTTTATTGGCACTGTTATCCATTTACACCTATTATGAGAATGTGGAATTGTACAATATCGTACACAGATTGAATTTCCACCCAAAAGTATACGAACTACAGTAATATCAACCAGAGATTGTGTGATCAGTTTTGTATTGTTTGATAATGACAGGAAGCGTTTTGTCCTTACTTAGTGTTGTGTGTTTTGTGTTCGCAATCTGACCTTAAACATCAACAGACGGTCAATGTACACCGTGCGATGGACAGCAAATATTATTGATTGCGTTATCTTCCTCCTAGGTGGTGTTGGCCACTCGACACCTGGTGGCCGAGCTTTGCTTTGAGGAAACTATCATTATTTCATGTATAATAGCAAGCGTGTTTCTTGAAAACCTTTTTCTCAGCTCGTGTGCATCGCAGGGAAAATGTTCGCATGTTAGAAAGATATTTTCCTGTAGATGTGCAGAATCCCTTTATAAATGAAAAAAGACTAAAAATAATCTCAAAAAATTAATTTGAAATTAAAAAAAAATAACATGGGCCTTATGGTTTACCATGCTGGTGATGGAATAACAACAAAATATAAACAGAAAACCAAAACAAATGGGAAAAATTCAAAATAAAATGTTTTATTCATAGCGTGCGGTGAAACTGGAGAAGTCTGAACAATAACATATTTTTGTTCGAGTTTTCAACCACTGGACGACATCTAGTTATTTTAAATACGTACAAACCCTTTCAAAAATATTTCCGTTCACAATTTTTATAACATCGGCCTAACACACATGATTTTTAGTAGAACCAACCTTAAAATTAATAAAAATCCCCTCTCCCAACAAATTATATGGAAATAAAATTTTTGTTCGAATAGTTCATGGGTTTTCTGGTTCTGTTTTCATTTAAATATCCTTGTTTGGTTATGTAACAAACCAAACTGTTCATCTGATCACGGCAAAACCTTGGGAAATAGTGGAAGGTTTTTGTTTGATTCCTGTTCCCGAAATTCCTCGGGGCTCTGACCCTGGGTACTTGTCCATGGGTACTTAAAGTGATGCTGTTGCGTGCGTGCCCCTCCTCTAAATCAGGTCTGACATTGTATCAATAATGAAAAATTGTGTGTCAATTTCAGAACAACTAAATGCAGTAGTTTGTTTACAATTTTAGACTTCAAGCAAGGTTTTCAAGGTCACCAGTGAAGAGCTAATATTCTAAACTAATCTTTGTGTTCCCACAAATAACGCAAATAATAGCCATCAATATGGTTGAAAAAATCCAAGAAATGCACATTTTACTCATCTAATATATAAATGGCTTCGTCTTGCCCTTTCCTAACTGTGGCTATAACTAAGTTAGGCATTGTGGCATAATGGTAATTTGACCTATTTAATTACTACACAAATTACTTTTAGGTTATTAGTTTTCACAGTATTGTTGAACAGCTGTTTGAGGAATATTGCTTTTGACTTAAAACATCGTTATCTTTTCAAGTACAACTTTACAAACATTACTAAAATCAATGTCCCACGCAAAATACATCTTGTTAAAAAAGTCATTTACAGAATTTGAGTCCCAATGATTTAAAAAGGTTCTTTTACAATTCAATGGCTTAAAAAATTTACCAAAAAGTTTAAAACTGTTTGTGCATAAACGGGCAAGTAGTATCAAATAAAACGTCTTAACTTGTTAGTGGGACACCATGTATACTTCATAAAGCTAAATAATTACTTATCAAAAATAACCAACTCACCTTTATCGCCAGTAAGTTTCCAGAAACATCTACTTCAAGCTAAAAACTTGGCAAACAAATAAAAGCAAAGTAAATCCATTCTGTATAAGATTCCTACCGCTACTCTATGAGGTAGGGAGGTAGCACTAGGACGTCACCGATACGATGACGTCATCACGGTAGGAACGTTGGTTTGTAGCACACACACACACACCTCCAGTTGGTGATATGGTGCCGTAGTCCTAGGGTCTAACCAGCTGCACAACATGTGAGTGTATTTTGTGTACATATTTTATTATGTTGTCGACTGTTTTGTCAGAAGGGTTGGGAGGGGAGATGTCGTTTAAAATATTTTTGGGTAAAGAAAGTAGTGTTGAAAAATATTTTGAGTTGGCCCTATTTTTTTTTTATTTTTTTAAAATTATGAATGTGATTTGTTGAAACATTTTAATTTGTTATACTTTGACTTGAATCCACATGAAAAATGGTTCATATTAGAAATGTGTTTAGGGAGAGGAGGGAAAATGCAATTGAAAGAAACTTTGGACTATATCAATGAAACTAATATTTCTGCAACAGCTTTTTTTATTTATTAAGTTCTATAAAATTGACGCAAGCCTCTTAGCTAAATATACTGTAATTTAAATTTCTTATTGAAAATAATTTTTAAACGTATTTTACATCTTTGTTGTTTTTGCTAATGGTCTAACACTAATGAATACTATTACATTTTTGGGTGGTAATGAGTACCAAACAGATAGTAACAGTATTTTAAGCATACTTGAGACATTATTATCAAACAAAAACAATAAATCAACAAAAAAATTGTAGTACAATAGTTTTTGTGGCTGACATATTTTAAAACTTAAAAAGCTAGCCTATTAAATTATTAAGTTTTTCATTATTTTAAGTGAATCAGTATTTTATTAATTTATAATTTCTTTATATTTTACCACCCTAGTCATTTGTATTGATTTTTTAAAATAGAAAAGCTCTAATATTTTTTGTACAAAATAAAAATTTAATCCATAGTTCAAGAGCAATCGGGTTTGTAGGATATAGCACTGCCACTGTGACCTAGATAAGTGTTTAGAATATATGGCAAGGTAGAAAATTTACTTTTATTGATATAAAAAAAATATTGTTTATTAATTTGCTGTTGACATTCAAATAGTAAGTTCCGTTTTACCCATGGCTGATAGTGGTGGTTTTAGAATCCTGTCAACACCAGGGGGGTGTCCTACACCCCCCAAGAAAAGAGGGTGGTTCAGGGGCCCTACCCTGGAAAATTGACATTTAAAACCCGTTTGGTAAATTTCTAAATGTATTTTTAACATCTAGAACTGTATCCGAAAACATCTGTTACGTTTTTAGGACTAAATGCGTGGAAATAGTATATTTCATCACTAGGGCCTAAAGTGACTCTTTTTGACCCGAGGTCAAGTTTTTTTTTTTTTTTTGAGGCTCGATCGAAAATGAGCGAAGGTTAAAAAGTCACTTTTTTTTGTGTGGCGATCTAGTTTTTTCGTCATATTGCATCATTAATTAACAAAAACAAAGCTCAAAACGAATTCCAGCTTGTTTTTAATTATTCTAATACAAATGAGCAGTTGTTTAGTACCCTCAAGTGATTTAGTTATTTCGTCTAATACTATTGTGTTAGTATACCGTCATACTGCAGTAAAAACAACAGTTTTTAATGGATGCCTTGTGGGCTTAAAGTAAGAATTTTTACTCTCTAGGGATTAAAAATCATTTTTAGTCTCTAGGGAGTAAAATTCAGCTATTGTAAACAGTTGTAAATTTTGATTCTGGTACTCGTATCAATCGAAATTATTTATCGATTGATTTATTAGGTTAGGTTTTAGTCTATTGTTGTCGATCGCTTGACTTATCGTTGATGGTATAATCTAATGTACTGTATAATCGTAATGGACGAAATGATTAACTCACTTACTACACAGCTGCTTTTAGCAGAATTGAAAACAAGCTGGAAGTCGTTTTGAGAGGTTATCTTGACATACAATTTTGTTCATTTCTAGCTTATTTAGTTAATTAATGATGCAATATGACGAAAAATATAGTTTCGCCACACAGGCAAAAAGTGTCTCGGCTTCGCCTCGATCGTAAAACTTGATCTCGGGTCAAAAAGAGTCACTTTAGGTCCTAGTGATGGAATAGACTGTTTATTCCCTCTAGAGAGTAAAAATGCTACTTTAGACCCGCAACGCATGCATTAAAAACGGCTGTTTTTGCTGTAGTATGACAAAAATGTATTTTCCAGGGTCTAATTGGGGGGGGGGGCTATAGTCTCTTGGAACCACCACTGATGGCCGACACAATATGAATATACGGAAATTTGATTTGTTTAGAACAATATACAAATCCAGACCGTTTGGTAACACATAAGAAACAATATAGATCCATAGAGTTTAACGTAAAGTAGGAGCACCTTAAAATATTACAAAGTAAGGGGTTCCCGAAATGGACACAATTAGGAAAACATTTACTTATAATACTATTGGAACGTGGAATACATGAACTTTAAAAAAATCTCAAATAACCTGGTGTTGCCAGCTATTTTAACTATTTATAAATTCAGAAATTCCATCAAGTATGAATGAATTGCTTTATCGTCCTTCACTCTGAAGAAAAACTCAAACTGTAAAATCATTTTCTAAACGAGGAAGAAACTTACTAGAAATCGGCACATAACTTACACTTAATAACTAGCATGTTAAAAAAATAATTAAATAATGCTAAAATTAAATTATTCCTATGCTTGTCTGTGTAACTAGGTTGCAATGGTGCATGGAAGGATGGAAGTTAATAAATTGTATCTATAATCAATTTGAACAACATTTCGATCGTACCAGAGATAAAAAATGAATTAGAATTTTTCCTTTTGGTCTGTGAATGATTGGTAACAAGAATGCTTCAATCAGCTGATCGGGCCAGAGTCCCGCAGATGAATTCGCTTTGTTTATTTTTATCTTAAAAAGTTCTTAACCTGTTTTTGTGATTTTTAAAAAGTGTTAGTGTAAAATGACCACTGCGAATCATGATAGGTGAGTGTTTACCAACATATTTTAAATTATAATAATCTAGTTATCTAACGATGCATAAAACAACTTTGTTTGCTTAGTTATTTTTCCATTATGAAATAACTTACTACCGCTTTTTATGTGCACTACCAAATTAGCTTTTGAGTTATTTACTTTGTTATTTAATCTAATATATCAATTATAGAAGTCTTAATCGATGTTTGCGAATCATATTTTTGTTTGCGCTGTAATGATGGAAAATTACTGAACACTTAATTAGGTACTCAGCTAATGATAACGGACGGTCAGTTTCAAAAGGTAAACGCCTGTAATCAGAGACCTAAACGTATTTAAAGATAGGCTTAGGAATGAAGTGATTAAAACCATTAGAGCTCATTCGATGGAACATTTTCCACGAGGTTTTAGAATTCTGGTTCAAGATAAAAACCTTAAGTGCTATAGAAAACATTTGAGATCTAACCGTAGCACAACTTTATCTACAAGACTAACGTTGTATATATATTTTAACCTATAGATATCATAATTATCACTAAAAGCCTACCGTGGTTTGTGATAGAGTAATTGTGAATCAAGCCGTTCCCTGTTAAAGGGAACATTCATTATTATCGATGATTTCTTTTCGATATATCGACATTTTATTTTTAGCGAATTCCCCATATAGGGGATAAGCTATTACCGTAGTACTCATGGTAAGACATGGACCCGGGACCGATTTTCTTTTTCGTTTTGAGGTCCCTAGAGGCCAAAAACACCATCCGTTCAAATTCATATATACATATTTATATATGTGTCCGTTAGCGCGATAACTCGAGAAAAAACGATCCGATTTTGATGAAATTTGGTACAAACGTGTAAACCTACGTTTATTCGAACGAGTTCGCGAACCAGCATGCTCGGACCATGGGAACGGTGGTTTATGGGGGGATTTATGGGGTAAATGGGGTTTTCCCACTTTTGACTCAAAAAACATAAAATTTTGCAATTTATATCCTAACTATTTTGTAGAGCTTAAAAAAACAAATAATTTAGTATATTGAAGCGTTATAATGCACCTAATGGTTACGGAGAAAATTCCAAAAAATTGTAAATTTAAAATTCCCATGTTATTCTTATGGAGAATACGTAAACTGTTGTAGTTTGCTTGTTTATTAACACTTTTTGCCCAAATTTGTAAAATGTTTTTATTTCTTACTGACTATTAACATTTTACATTAAAAAAACACTTTCACCCTCCCTGTTGCAACAAACCTAAGTATGTGTTAAACTGATTCTATTTAAATAGGGAATAAATGTGATATTTTTAAGGATACATTCTAGTGTAAATCCAATTAGGCAAATGGAAATTCGCTTAGTCTGCAGGTTTGTTGTGGCGGGGGTATTTTATTTGATATCATGATTTTAACAAATAGCTGACAACTACGATAAATAAATATTGTTCAGCATCAACAAATAAAAAAAATATTGAAATGAAACTGTTCTAAACTAAACTAACTAACCAAACTTGATGTAATATTTCAAAATTCCGTTTGATAGCCTTATTCCCAATATACCTTTTCTGTTATCAAACGGAATTTTGAAACGGTAACTTAGCCCACAGCAAGTTTGGTTAACATGTTAGGTTAGTTTAGAATAGTTTCATTTCTTAATCCAATAATATGGTATTATTTTTGCCTAAAGAAGATTAGTTCTTAATCATATTCTCTATTCTCTAATACGGGCTACAACTGAATAACTCGATTATTGAACCAAGTATAACCTAGACATATTTGCTAAGTCTGTTTGTCTGTCTATCTGTAATTTAAATGCGTTTGAAGATATTAAAACAGATGGAATATGGATCGTAAATAATTATTTATTTATCGTAGTTGTCAGCTGATACTCGTAAGTTTCTATTTGTTAAAATCATTATATCAAAATAAAAAATAAAATATCGATATATCGATGATCTCCTTTATGAAGGAAATTACTGTCACATGAATTTATTCGCTGACGATGTAGCACTTCTAATCAAGGCCCCAAATGTAACCAGCTTAGAGAACAGCTTCACTTCGGTCATCAAGAGCTTAAATAGTTGGTTTGAGTACAATGGTCTTCTCCTTAACAAAGACAAAACACAATGTATCAATTTTGGTCTGATTGGTTCGTCTCAGAATAGTCAAAGTAGTCCTGCAACACAGCTCACTAATCCCTCATTGACCACAAA